ATGGAGTCCCAACCACCAGCCCCCAAGCCCCTTGTCTCTTGCCCTCTAGGTCTTTTCAGCCTGCAGACCACCTCCAGACACAGTGGATACTCGTGGCCCATCCTATGCCAACTGGCTGTGCCCTTTGCCACTGACACCGTTCAGATCTTCCCAGCTGGCCTGCCCCCAGGGCCTGGACTTATACCTGTACACCCTACAGCCAGCACTCCTGGGCACAGTCCCACAGGGCCTCAGAGAGGACGCTTCGAGCACAAGTAAGCCCAGGGCATGGTGCTGTACCTGTATCTTAGTGGAGGCTGGGTGGGGGGGTGCTGCTAGGTCTGGAGATAGGAGGTGGAGGGGACACAGTGAGGACAGAGTGTCAGGCATACTTTATTTCCACATTTTGGTCTTGGAGTTCTGGTCTGAGGGTACCAAGGACATTCAGGCAGTGATACCTGAGCCACAGGTGGTGGGCAGTGGCTTTTCCAGACACTTGTCTGGGAGCTGGAGTAGGCACAGCCAAAGATGCAGGAGTTGGGGACGGTGCTTTGTCTGTCTAGGATGTCTGAGCTAGTGGGATCTTAAGGGAAGAGCACTGGACTGGGAGTCAGGGAATTGGGATTGGAGTACTGGTTCTGTGCTTTCTAGTTCTATGACCTTGGGCCCATCCCTGAGGCCAAGTTTCTTCATCCACAGACGTGAGAGCTCATCTGTACTCATGTTCTAGGTTTGTTGTGTTATAATACATCATTTTCTTAAGCAACTATGACCTCCTGGAAGGCAAGAATTATCCTGCCGGGTCCTTTATTTCTGGGACCCCAGCACACAGCCCAGAGTGAAACTACTCAGTAAAGTTGACTGAGTGAGTGAATAAATGAGGATCCAAGTAGAATCTACTTTTTTGTTTTTGTTGAGACAGAGTCTCACTGTGTAACCCTGGGTAGAGTGCTGTGCATCACAGCTCACAGCAACCTCAAACTCTTGGGCTTATGCTACTCTCTTGCCTCAGCCTTCTAAGTAGCTGGGACCACAGGCATCCACCACAATGCCCAGCTATTTTTGGGTTGTAGTTGTCATTGTTGTTTGGCAAGCCCAGGCTAGATTTGAACCTGCCCAGCTCCAGTGTGTGTGGCTGGTGCCCAAGCTGCTGAGCTACAAGCATCAAGCCCAGAATCTACTTTTTAATAGTTTTTTCTTTTTGGTATTTTACTTGTTATTGCTCTTAGCTTTACCTCCCTGGCCATTGTATCCAGTTTCCCTTGCTAGCGCTCCTACCTCCTAAATATTTTCTTTTTCTTCTTCTTTTTGTTTTATTTCAGGTTAATGTGAGGATACAAACAATCAGGTCATAATAATTGCCTCCTAAATATTTTCATGCCTCAGAACTCAGTCCAGAGCTCTCTCCTCTCCTGTCCCCTCTTCTCCCCTCTTCTCATTTTTTCTTCCCTCCTTTTCTTCTCCCCTTTCCTCTTTTTTTTCTTCCCTTCCTCCATTCTTTTCTTCTAGAACGTCCTGCCATAATGCAAATGTTCTATAACTGTGCTGTCAAATACTATACCTATTGAATACTTTAAATGTCGATAGTGCAACTGAGGATCTTAATTTTTCTTTCTTTCTTTTTTGAGACAGAGTCTCACTATGTTGCCCTTGGTAGAGTGCCATGGTGTCACAGCTCACAGCAACCTCAAATTCTTGGGCTTAAGTGATTCTCTTGCCTCAGCTTCCCTAGTAGCTGGAACTATAGGCACCCACCACAATGTCCAGCTATTTAATTTTTCTTTTTAAGAGACAGAATCTCGCTCCGTCTGTCATCTGGATAGACAGAGTTTGCAGTGGTGCAATCATAGCTCACTGCAGCCTCAAACTTCTGGACTCAAGCAATTTTCCTTCCTTAGCTTTCCAAGTGGCTAGAAGCACATAGCCATGCCTGTCTAATTTTTTAAACATTTTGTAGAGATGGGGCATCACTCTTGCTCAGGCTGGTCTTAAACTCTGGGGCTCAAGTAATCCTCATAGTGCTGGGATTACAGACATGAGCCGCCATGCTCAATCTTTATTTTTTATCATACTATTTTTTTTAATCACAATTAATATGAATGTGGTTACATATCCAATGACTGCCATTTTGGACACAGCAGATCTAGCATCACCCTCATGTGATCTCATCTGGGCCCATGACATCCAAATTTATGACTCTATCTCAGATATCTCCTTTAAATTCTAGCCCAGTTCATCCATCTCCCCACTTGATGTCCTCATTTGGATGTCTAACAGGCTTCTTGAATGATTTTCTACCCCTGAAAGTCTTTTTTTTTTTTTCTGAGACATAGTCTCACTATGTCACCCTCAGCAGAGTGCTGCGGCATCACAGCTCACAGCAACCTCAAATTCTTGGGCTTAAGCAATTCTCTTGCCTCGTCCTCCTGAGTAGCTGGTACTACAGGTGCCAGCCACAATGTCTGGCTATTTTTTGGTTGCAGTAGTCATTGTTGTTCAGTAGGCCTGGGCTAGGCTCGAACCTGCCACCTTCAGTGTATGTGGCCAACACTCTACTCACTGAGCTATGGACGCCGAGCCCTCCCCTTGAAATTCGTAAGCACTACAGAAATGTTAGCAGCTTTTATTGGCAAATGCCATTGCAGACCAGGAAACCCAAGGTGGGGTGCGGTGGCTGGAGTTTTCTCAGCCCCAAACTAGGCAGGTTTGATAGGGCACAGGACTTTACCCCAGGTTGTGGGTTCCTGACCTTCTTCCTTTTCTTTCTCAGAGCACCAGCCATCAGAGCTGCACCCCAGCTCCACTGATGATGAGAAACTCACAGCCAAGTACCCACCAAGGAGGGATGAGATGGGAAGCCAGCCTGAAAGAGCTGGCAAGGGTGCCCCCTGCCTAGCCTTCTCTCCCCATGACAGCTCTTCCCCATCCTCCTGGCAGAATAGAAAGAGCCCCAGCCCATCGGCTTTCTGCCCTTTCTCCCCTCCTGCTCCCATCTCCAAGGAGCTTCCATTCCACTTCTACCCTTTCTACCCTAGGTACCCATTTCTCCTGCCTCCACATTACCTGTTCACCTATGGGGCTCTACCTTCTGTTCAACGTTCCCACCTCTTCATGCTCCCCCAAGACACCTCCTTCCCTACCATGGCTGTGCCTAGCTTACTGATGACAGTCAATGAGCCTGGGCACCACAGCACCCAGAGAAACATCCTGCTTCCCTACCCAGGAACCTGCCAGGCTTCTGGCCAAGCCCTACCTTCCCAGGCCCAGAATCCAGGCCCTAGAGCTGCCCTAACCTACTCCCCAGGGCTGGAGTGTGCTGGTGTGGCTGCCCCAGCTAAGCTAGGCCCACAGGGTTCCCAGACTGGCAGAGCAGCCCTGCCTTACCCATTGCAGAAAGAGAACGGCAAAATCCTGTACAAGTGCAACGTGTGCAGTAAGACCTTTGGGCAGCTCTCCAATCTCAAGGTACCTGCTCCCGGGCTCTGCTGCTCCCCTCAACCTCTTTCAGTAAATCCTCAACCCCCTAGGCTTCTAGAAGCAAGGAATTCACAGCTGGAAGGACCCCTGGGCAGCCTGGTTCATTTAGGTTGAGAAACAGGATAAGATGGCCATCAAAGTCTCATTACCCTGGAAGATTGTCTATGAGATCATTTAAGTTAAAATGGGGAAACTGAGAATCCTAATGGGCATTTGACCAAGGTTATTTGATTTAATTATGGTATTAGGCTTGTTTTTTTTTTTTTT